ACGAGCCAGTCGAAGTCTTACGCCCGGATATGAATGGAAACGCTCAACCAATACCAATACGAACACTAATTCTCCCTATTCATCTTCCAGGTTCTGTGTGGCACCTGATAATTTCGCGTTAAGAATCGATCTGAGAAACAGCCAGTCCCTCTATAGTTTGTTCATTCGTTTCGAGATTGAGCCATTTGGGCATGTGTCAGGGAGTTAAACTCATCATCAGCTTGCTTCCAAGCAACCTTAGGAAGAGGGAACTATCGATAACCTCGCAAGAGTTTTGTTGTCGCTGTTGATATTAGCTTTTTTTGGGGCCACTCCTACTACTAAGACGAGACACCTATCAAATTGTTCACTTTTCGTAATTGCCCCTTTGATCAGACACTTCCCCCTCAATTCACCTCTTCGCTAGGAACCTGGACAAAGAATTTTTTAACTTCCATCCAAGTTCACGCTGCTAAAACCCAAAAGACCCATGAAGAATTTTCAAGGGTAGTTTGTGAGAATTAATAATTGGCCAACGCACGGGCTGCCTGTGCGAAGATGCGTTTTTTGCATGGTTCCCCGCAATGTTTGTCGTTACCGGCACCAGTTTTTCCGGCAAACCCTTCTAGCTAAACAAATTAAGACTGGCCACCGTAATTGTCAGGAAACAAACACCCTCTTAAAATCTCAACTTTCTAACTTTTTAGTTCTCCGAATTAACAACTTACCCGAAAAAAAACCTGTCATAAAAAGTGATACGAAGAGAGAACATTATAATAGGAAAGAATGGAATAAAGGGAGAAAAAAAAAGGAAAAGAAAGAAATGAAAATTAGAAAATTTGTGAGATTTTTATAATGGTAAGAAGTGCTTCGGTCCATTAAGTTGTATACATTTCTTACCATTACCATAATTGGACCTCGTCAGTACGACGATCACTGTGATAACTGAAGTTATTATTTCTTGAACAGTCTACGTCAGCCTGGACTGTTTGGGAAAGGTTGTTACGTATAGTTTAAGATACCCAGAATTTCCTAAATTTTTTCCCAAGTTTTAGAATTTCCCAAGTTTTTTTAGAATTCCCCAAGTCGTAGAATTTCCCAAGTTTTTTTTTTTTTATTAAAAATTCAGTTTCATTTCAATTTCAGCACACTTTGTAAC